GATGTTTACAGCAGTGAATTTGATTGCGCTCCCATTTATTGAAACTAATTCAAGCCGGACGCCGGTTGAACATGTTTTTATAATTTTGGAGTTTTCGATGTATTCATGGTTTCAAGGAGTCCCAAAAATATTCAAGCATTAGTAATTTATAAATTTAAAAATCTGTTTCAATATTGTTTTGTGGGTACAGTACTTTTGTCCACTAGTTGCTTCTCAACTTGGTCCGCTTGTGTCGAGCTCTGAGAAAATATTCGCGGTGAGTCCTTGACAAGGCATATTTTTTGAAGGTACGATACAATTTGCAGTGTGATCCTTTGAAAGAAAAGCAAAAGAAATTTATATTTCAATCTCCCAGGGAGAACCAGTCAGAGCAGCGGCAAGGCCCCGAGGATCAATGAGTAGAACTCGGAAGGGTGAAATCCGTTCCTGGGCCCGGAGGGTAAAAAGGAGGGCTAATAAACCCCCCCCCCCCCCCCGCTCAAGTGCTTGTGGCAATTAAAGGATGTTTTTTAGAAGCTAAAAAGCGAATTTTTTTTCGTGATTTTTAACTGTTAGTAAAATTTTCGTGTATTGAGGGTTTGTTGTTTCGAAGGACGTTGTGGGGCATAAATTTCTGTCTCTGTTCTTTAAGCATAAGATGGATTTTTATTGCCATCCAGCTGAAGAAAAAATCAATATTTTTATGAATACCGTAATTCATTTCCTTCCTTCAAGTGGATGATGATCATGAAAAGAAAGCTCAGTTTGTTGATCTTCAACATGACATCGATACAAATTTCCGCAAAGGATGTGGAATTTCAGGACTTCGAGAATTTTTAGAAATCTTTCATTGTGTCGTTTAATATCAAAACATATTTTGAATGATGACTAAAATGTATTTAAAATGCGGGAAAGTCTGGAACAAGAAAAAATCTTGGGTTAAAGCTCTCAAATTTTCGATTTTCGATACAGAATTTCTACCCATTTTTGTATGTAGTAATTATCATCCTTTTTTGTGTGAAAATGACTATCTTGAACCACTTTTTATTGAATGCTTTGATAAAAACTGGTTCAAGGTCTTGCAAATAATTTGAATAGTTCAAAAATCTGTAATGAAATGTTCACCGATTTGACAATCATATTTCCAATTTTAAAAAATTGCTCCGAAAATCGGAATTTTTGTGTTGGAAATCATTGTGTGAATTTCGCCTTGACCTTTCAATCGACGAAGATGAAATTGCCAAATTAGGTCGCCAATTCAAGAGAATCGTCGATGAAACGGACGTGAATTGTTCCAGATAATTCAATTGATGTTTGAATTTTTTTAAGGATTCTGACTGAAAAACTTGGATGGACATAGAGGATTACAGTATTTTTAATATTTTGACAAAACTTGTTTCATTTCATCATACATGAGAATTTTCTGCGATTCTTTCTCGAGTCTGATTCGCAAAAAAATTTAAATCTTTAATTAGCTGATGAGTCTTGAGGCCTCTGTTTTATTTTTCGGCGCTTGTTTGAAAAACATTATTTATTTATCTATAATTATGGTAACAAGATTTCCTGTGTCTTCATTTCTTTGATGAATTTAACTGACACAAAATAAATAAAAAAAATGTATGACCCTCCCCCAGTTTTCGCGACACCACGTTCGAGAGTTCGGTTGTCGCGGGGTGCTTTTGTTCCGGCACCCAGCGGCGGCCATCGTGGCGCACCGCCACCTGGACGAAGGCGGCCACTTGGGCCACGCGCCGCTAGCCGCCTTCAATGGCACCGAGTGGCGCCAGTACGTCGCCGGCAAAATCGCGGTTTGGCGAGACCTGTATTCGCACTGGTTGCGCGAATGTGAGCCGAGTGGATTGCGCATCGCTGTGTACGAACGCTTTCGGGCGGACTTGGGCGGCGCCGTGAGGCGGCTGCTGGCGGACTTGGGCGTCCCTGTTGACGAAAACAGGATCCAATGTTTGCTGAAGTGGGTTTATTTTTTAACGAGCCGTACTTTCTCTTTTTTTTTTCGTTTAAATTTGAGCGGGATTTTTCGATAGGTTAATTTTTTTTGTTGACCCCGCATAACGAAACTTACCAGTTCCGAAATGAATTTTGCTCTGCAAAAAATATTTTTCTACGACTTTCCTCGAGGTACTTGAAATATTTGATCAGTTTCCGACATGCTAAAAATTTACCAGTTTTTTTTAAAACCTGCGTATTTCAGAAACAAATATTTGTACAATATTAAATTGATTATTCCTGGAATCCAAGCTCTGAAATTTCTGAAATTCATAATTTTTCTGCAGCTAGAAAATGAAAAATTTTCCATTTTTTCCCTTCGTTTGCATAGCCTTCAGCATTTTAAAACAAAGTTAGCCTTGAAAATTCGCTGAAATTTTTGCATTTTTTCCCGGAAATTTTCTCATCCGAGTAAAATTTTGTGATTATAATTTTTATTTCGCAAAATTTTTCAAAATGCATCATTCTCAAAGTCTCGTCGCCTCGAATTAAGCGGGGATCTTACGTATTTTTGGTTGCAGATTCGTTGAAAAAAATTAGATTGAGACGAAATGTTCGTGCTAAATTTACTACAAATTGGCGAACATAAATCTTCGAGCAATTAAATAATTGATTTTGGACGATGACGTTTTTCGTTCGTCGAGAAAATAGCGGTGGTGTTACACTTGAAATCCCGACGACGGTTTTAATTTATATTTGAAACTTCAAAAATACCGTTGATGAAGATCCATTCGCAAAATATGTTACAAATCTTCCGTGCTGAATTCAAACCCTCAGTGCTTCTGGAGGGTTCCTAACCCTCGCTGGGATTTTGTGCAACCCTGGGTTCGGAGCGTGCGTTTGAAAAAATAAATAAAATAAAATAAAGGGGGAGAGGGAAAAACTTTCCAACGTGAGTTGGTGTGGGGGGTGGAAAATTTATTTTTATTCCCTTTTTTGGTATGGGGGGTTGTTTTTTTTTTGCGTTTTAAGGTACGGAAGTGGGAGTGTGGAGAGGCGGAAGTTGTACCAGGGAGTCGAGTTGTTTGACGAAGACCAGCGAGAGCAAATGGCTCGGGTTGTCGACACTGTGAATAAGCTGCTTCTTGCCAAGAAGAACTTCTCCTTGCCTTACCTGAGATGAATTCTTCTGCCAAATAAGCAGTTGCGTTTGTCTTATTTCATCCTTTTTGTTTTTTTTTTTGCACGCAAAAATATTTTTCGGGTTTTTTCTGAAAATGTATGGGAATTTCTCCTGGCGAGCTCCAACCGAAAATAAAACATGTATTTTCCAGGTCCATTTCCGTTGAGGGGTGAAAACGAATTTTAATGATAATCATCGTCGAGTAAAAAATTAATTATTCGGGACGAGAAAAAATATGACGCTGATTTTTTTTTTCGCTCAAAATTTATTACATGGCTTCATGAAAGCAAGACCATTTCTTCCGTAAAATTTTAGTTCTTCGTTTTTCGCCGTAAGGTTTCACAGCTCGTAATAATATCGAAGCCAATCTGAAATGTAGAAAAAAGAAGGTCGACCCTCTTTTTAACGAGAACTTTTTCGAGAAATAGCACGAGGCTGAACTGATCAGAAAATTACTTCTGATTTGCATGAATCTCCGGAAATGACTGTCATTACGGGCTCACGGAATTTTCGTTCAGGATCGTTTGTCATTTGAGTATTTCTGGGCCAGAAAACCAGCTAGCTAAAATCCTCTTGAATTGCATTCCTTCCATCGCCGATTGAGATGAAATTTGGCGAAATATGAATGACAATAATTAAGTTAATCATTGAACAGGGTATTAAATGGACAAAAAAGAGTCCAGAGATGAAAAGTGGCGGTTGCTTGAATTATCCTGAGTTTTATGCAGGAAATTGATTCACACTGTAAATATACTGTATCATTATAATCCTCAGAAAAGTATATTTAGTACTCGTATAACATATATTGAAAATGTTCATCTGTCATAAAAATATAAAAAAATAAATTAATTAATTAATTTACTATTTCAATGTATATTCCCATTGTTTTGCCTGTTTCCTTCTGCACAATTGTTTTCTGTATCTTGAAGATGAGGTAAACAGTTTTTATTGAATTTTTTAGGTACTTATTCCTGATTTTTGATAAACAGGAGAACCAATTAAATATTGAAGTCTAAAAGAAAATGAGATCCAACAAAGGGACAAGGTCCAAGTACCAATTATGTCTGCATCTTGGGGTCCCCACTTGTACTCACTTTGTCCCAAATGTTGTGGGTGGTATGATGAAGTGCTTTGGAAATTTAATTGACCAGGGTTAATCCTAGAAGGGTGGGCTTTCAAGGATTTTTTTGCCTGCAAAAAGAAAAACACTAATCTTGAAAAATTAATTAATATTTTCCAGGTGTGGATGGGCATTTGGGCCACTGTGTGTGCAGTGTGCACTTTCCTGACAGTGGCCACCTTTGTGTTGGAGCCAACAGCCTTCCCTTACCCAGAGAGACCCATTGTGACCCTGAGTGCCTGCTACCTACTGGTGGCTGTTGGTTACCTGGTCAGGCTTTTGGCAGGCTACAAGAATGTGGCATGCCAGGTTGCCACCCCAGCTGGGGTTGCTGAGCCTGTGGCAATTCTGGTGAAGAATGGCCTGGGCAATGTTGGGTGTGCCATGGTGTTCCTGTTGACCTACTACTTTGGAATGGCTGCTGCAGTGTGGTGAGTTCTCATTTTATTGTCTTACTTATTTTTTATTTTCCTGGAGAAGTGAGTAACTCATGGTGAGTACTTTGTCCATGAAACACCAATTAAAAATTATATAATGTAAGTCTAAGGGAAAATGAGACTCAACTTAGGGACATTTCAAGAAGACGCGGATTGCACTGCTACAGGTTTTTGATGAATGAGTCTTGAAATCTTGCACCATGTTTTTAGATACAGTGAGACCCCCACATGCAGACACCTCAACATGTGGACAATTTGACATAAGGGACACTTATTTTCCCATAAGAAATTAATAAAAAAGGCCCAACATGAGGACACTGACTTGACATAGGGACATTTTGTGATAAAATTGCAAATAAGTTTCTGGCCAAATTACGAGAAACAGATATTTCTGGCCCTAAAATTGATGTAAGAAAAGTTCTTGGGCATTTCTCCCACCAATTTACCATCCATTAAGCTAATGGAAAAAATTACCTTGAGCATGGAAGGACTTTTTTTGCTCTCTTTTACTTGATTGTTGATTTTACAGAAAATGCCAGCATTTTCATGCACTGTTTGTCAGAGGTATCAGTATTCAATTCCCCAAATGTCCATATTGTGTTGAAATATATTGATTGAATCAGTTTAAATTTGGAGACAATTTTTAATTGCATAGAATTATGGTAAGTATTTTGTCAATAAAAAAACAATTTAAAATTATATAACGTAAGCCTAAGGGAAAATGAGACTCAACTTAGGGACATTTCAACTTAGGGACACTCTTGATGCACCAATTACGTCCACATCTTGGGTCCTCACTGTATATAATGGTGGACTCTTTGAAGTGATCTGTTGTGCAATGATTTTCTCTATATAGCATATGCTTCAGTGGACAGTTGGACCTTGCTAAGTTGATCCTCCCTGAGGCAATCAAATGTTTATTTAGTCCTTGTCTGACTTTTCCTCATGAACAATTTAATATACTCCTCCTCAAATAAAATAATTTGCAAGGTTTTACTAGTCTTGCTTTAACATGCAGTTGGGCTTTGCTAAGTTGAACTTCCCTAAGTCAATCAAAAATTTTATATAGTCCTTGTCTGAGTGTCCCTTAAAAACAATTTAATATGTTCCTCCTTAACTCAAAGAATTTTGCCCTTTGAACCTCTGTAAATTTATTTATAGAAGGCTTTTTGGGCTATTATTGTGGAAACACAGGAAGGAGAGAAAATGTTACTTGATGTGCTTTGAAAGGAAGTGAAAGACTAATTGGGCAAATGAACCCTTGCCTCCGAGCTTCAAACATCCTCAACTTTTTTATCCTCAGTTTGAGGCCAAGAATATCATCAATTTACCTCCCTGTAATTCTTTATCCCCCCCCCCCCCCACCCAGTAAAAAAAATCGGGTTTGGTCCACTCAGAAACTCTGCAAACTGAATTATTTGTGGGTTCATGTGAGTTACCAGGTCTTGCTATTGGTGGCATTGTTTTTGGAGGATTCTGAACCCTGGAATCCAAATAATTTCAAGTTTCATGACCAAAATTTTGCAAATCACGGAGGATTCTGATGCCTTACAAAGTATCAAATTTGTTAGCGATAGATTTTTTTTTCAAGTCAGCAAATAATCTTGTAAAATCAAGTGTTATCAGCAGATTTGGTTTCTCTCAATGGGATTTGGAAGCCCGTTGTAATTTTTGTTTTTGTTGAAATTATAAATTTAAATGCCGATATTCCTTCTAGGAGTTATCTTTTAGAAATACTTGATGCGTTTACGCTTTTCTTCTGCGAGCAGATTTATAGTCTTCTGCATCGATCTCCAGAAATAAGTTCGCATATTTTTGCTGTTGTCAAGGGAATTCTGCAGCGAGTCTCCAGCGAATTTAATCCTTCGGGGGGAGAAAAGCCACCTTCTCCCTGTTGATATATTAATGCATGTATGCGGATGTTTATTTATTTATTCATTTATTGCGTATTTCTCCTGCTGTACTCGTGTACAGGGTGGGATTAGTAAAAAAAATATATATATATATATATGTATGGAGGGGCCCCATGAAAATAAATCCGGGCTGTCACGCTGGCCCCCATTAGAATTGGATTCTGGTTCTCCCTCAACCACATCATCAGGGTTATCTTGTTTTTCCCCTCCTGAACCCAGGGTTTGGGATTAAGACAAAGGGACACTCGGAACAGATGATGTGAGGAGAGAACGAGTGTTCGTGTGTGTGTGTGTGTGTAAATATGAATACAGTATGTGTATTTAGCACATGTGGTGTAGAACTGTAGATAAATCGGACAGACCTCACCCCCAGGCAAAAATCGGGTGTCGGGTTTTAATTTTTTTTTTCGCCGAAAAATCTCCTATTTTCATTTGGTCCTTAATGCGAAATGACCCAGTATTAGACGGAAGAGACTGGACTTGAAAAAGAAATTTTTGGATTTGGCATCTGGGAATTTGTGGAAGTGTCTTATTGCTGATTTTTTTGTCAAATTTTTTGACGTTTTTTTTCCCTTGATGGATATTGTCTTATAATTTTGCGTCATTCGGCCTTTTTATTTTTAGTAAAAGAAAACCGGAATTGGACTTGGATTTTCAAATACACAATAATTTAAAATTCACGTGTGAGTAGTTTGAAATTTTCGATTTATTTGCTTGTTGGTGACGTTTAGTGAAAGTTAGTTTTTCTGTTTCTCTTGAAATTTTTTTGGGTTGATGCCAAACAATTTCTAATGAAAATCGCAAGCAAAATTTGTGTACCTTGAGAAGTATAGTATTTCGGTTTATAAATCAGAGGACTAGAAAATTATCGTATCTAATTAATCAAAATAGTTATTTTTCAGTATCCTGCCGAGAACTTCAAAAATTAAATTTTGACCGTAAGACAAAGTTTGGGTTGCTGAAACAAGGCTTTTGATGCGGGCTTTTTTTTAAATCTTCGGTGATGAGTGAAATTCAAGCTAGGATATTCGCATGCTAAAAAATCGTGAGGATTTGCATGCCGAAAATCGTAGCAACCCTTGGTGCTGTGAGTCGTTCCAGTGCAAACGTAATCCCATCTGTGGGACCCCAACCAAAACTGAACTTTGATGGAAGAAAGAAGAAAAGCTTTTATTTTTTGCCCCTCTGCTCCTTCTTTATTCATATTTTCAACTCATGGGATTGCCTATTTTCCCCCTCGTCCTCCTCCTCCTCTCGAATTTCGTATTTCATTTCACGTCTGAAAACTCGTAAAGAATAATAATAAAGAGTGAAAAAATACATGAAAAAGAGATCGAATTCGAGGCACAGGAAACAGAGCCCTGCTGTTTGAAAGCGCAATAAAATCGATAGGCCTGTCTCACGTACTGTTCTAGTATTTGCATCAGGTGAGGGTGAGGGACTCGCTTTTAAATTTTTTTTTTGCGAGGAATTTTACCTGAAGCTTTAAAAATTGCGAATTCGTTTCTATTTTTTTTCTTTTGGATTCTT